CCTGCTAATTTTTATGGACATAAAACCCAATATTATTTATAGAGTTGGTGCCCTCTGTTTACCTGATTAGACTACGCACTAATCAGGCACAGCTTTTCTGGAAAAAGAGCTGGAGCATGGTAATTTGCCATCTTCTATAATTTTCTTTCCTCAGTCAAAACACAAGTGTATATTTTAAATCATGGCAATATTTTAAACTCGTGTATGTTTTGGAATGAATGACTTTAAAAAAATCCTGAACTAGAAGACCAATTTTAATGTCTGTTTCAGAGGCGCAGTCTCAAATCTGGGTTCCACTTCAGATAGGCTTCAGCGGTGTCACTGTTTGACCAGGGCCCTTTTCCAATAAGCATAAGCAAATATTTTAAGTTGAGAAGCGTTTTTAAAATGAATTATCTTTAGTTAAGACATTACTTCAGTGGAAGAAAGGGTATCTCTGCACTTGTGGGCATGTGGCCATTTCTGACTGTTGTCCACCAACTTGGACACTGTCTCAGAAGGCACTGAGTTCTCTGTCTTCATTATTTCTTCCCAGTGCTTCCTTCTTTCTTTACAAATCAGATTAATTTTTACCTATCTGGAATTCCCTATGCAGGGAAAGGAGCTAGAATGAATCTAAAAGCGTAATGAGATGTTAATAACAGCGGGCAACTCATTTTAATGCAGTTAACTAAAGACTATTATGTAGCACATTTTAAAGCCTTTAGCGCTCACAAAGGATGAGCACCAAAGTTAAAGGGAAAATCTCAATCGCAGCCTCCTGGAAGGGCAACCGATGCTCCGAACAGATGGAAGAGAAACCTGGAGCAAAACCTCAGTATGTGAAGCACCCCGGGTGCCTGCCCAGCCTTGGGGCTCTGAGAGCGGTAGGAGGCCTTTGCTGCCTGGGGCCATGAGATACATCTGTAGTGTTAGGAGAGAGACAGCAAGCTGTCCATGAGACATATGGCATGCCATGCATCCACAGCCGAGGCCTTCCTCCCAGCTCCTGCTGCTTTATTGCTCTGGAGGTCCTCCAGCCATAGTGGCAACTTAGAGAAGACTTAGACTGATGTCTTCCTGGGGCAAATCAAATGCCTGGTCAGACTGCAGACTCTGCCTGCCCCTCCAGCAGCTCAATGGATGTAAGCTTGCGTGGGAGCTGTGCACAGGGTCTGTACAGTTCCTGCCAGCCCTCATCTTACCTCTTTGTTCCTCCCAAAACAGCAACTCATGCTCAAAGAGGACTGCTGGAGATGAGATGAGGGCTGTGGTGGGCAGCTGCAGCCGACCGCAGACCTCTTTTGTGCAGAGGAAGAATATTTCTGTGCCTATTGCTAATCCCTTAGCATTAGTATTCCAAAACCTACATTAATTTTGCCTGTGGTCCCTTCTCACCTCTTTTTTTCCTTCCTGGCTTTTTCCTCACTGCCACCATACTGTGTTTATGGAACAATTACTCCACTGCACTTTGTGTTCCTAGTTTGAAAGCACCGCTTTTTGTTTCCTCATTTTCTGGTTGTGTGAATTATCCTTTGAAGGCGTTTATATTCTGTGTCTTTTCTCCCATGAGCTCTCTCCTTGGCAGTCCATAGAAATTGAGTTTGTTCTGTTCAATCTAACTCACTGGATACCTTTTAATATTGCTTTCTATGTTTGTATTTCTGTGCCTTCACAACACTCACAGCTGTGTGGAGCTGTGGATCCATACTGAGGTCCCGGTGCACTTCCTCACATAGCCTACCCTATGGCCCTCATCACCTTTATGAAATAACAACATGGTTGGTCATCCCTCCTGAGCATTTTCTTCAACTCTTAACACGAAGAAAAGTATCAGTAAAATAAGATATCTATTAATGTATCAACAACATGTCATTGTAAAGTCAGTGTCCCATCTAAAATCAGTAAGGCTATGATTCATCATGCAACACCATCCTGAGACCTGATTACTGAGTTGTTTGGGCTCAACCTTATGTAACCTGCATGGGCTGAAGACATTATTTCCAATCAAGTTATTCATGGCTCACATTGACTGATTTAAAGCTTTTGTTCATCCCATTGGAAGGTGGATGGGAAGTCTCATGATTGCATGCTATCTGTAGGAGGAAACAGAAGCCCTGCAGACCCCTGATGCCCTGGATCTTGCTCTGCAAGGGACTGTGTAATAGAATCAGAATAGCAGAAACACCAAGGTTGGAAAAGACCTTCAAGATCATCCAGTCCAACCACCCATCTGTCACCAATAGTTCTCACTAAATCATATCCCTCAACACGAAATCCAAACGTTCCTTCAACACCCCCAGGGTCAGTGACTCCACCATCGTCCTAGGCAGCCCATTCCAGTGCCTGACCACTCTTTCAGAAAAACAGTAAGCACTTCCTAGTGTCCAGCCTGAATCTCCCCTGGTTCAGCTTGAAGCCATTCCCTCTAGTCCTATCACTAGTTACATCAGAGAAGAGGCTGACACCCAGCTCACTACAACCTCCCTTCAGGTAGTTGTAGAAAGCAATAAGGTCTCCCCTGAGCCTCCTCTTCTCCAGACAATTATTATTATTATTATTATTATTATTATTATTATCATTATTATTCACAGCATGGCTTTATTGAAGATGAGAGGTGATCAGAAAGTGGTGATCAGAAGTTTACAGCAGTTTCTGGTGTACAGAAGTATTGTCAAGCAGCACTAATGCCTCAGCCAGTTTTCCTTTGCCATCTCATCTGTGTTATTTATTTTCATACCCTGGTGATTTAATCAGTGTTAATGTGGGCTGAAGGCTCAGTGGTCCCAGAGCTCAGATAGGGCTGCAGCTACAGGCTAAGAGCCTGCTGTACAGTGCCTCTCTGCCCTGTACAGCACTGAGTCTCGGCTGGTTTGGGTAGAAGTTATCTACTACAGGCAAGCATGCCTAAACACTTAATATTTTAAATCTTCCTTGGTTTGGCATGTCTAATTTTCACTGGTCATATCTCCAAAATAAATAGATAGATGGATAGATAGGTTGATAGATAGATAGATTGACAGAGAAGGCTGTTGACATTAGAACAAGCTGCCCAGGGAAGTGGTGGCGTTTCCATCCCTGCAGATGTTCCAGAATTGTGGGTTTGTGGCTTTGGGGACATGGTTAGAGGGCATGGTGGGGATGGGTTGGGGTTGGACTTGGGAATCTTGGAGATCTCCTTGAACCTTAATGATTCTATGAATGGGCATGGTGTGATGGTTTGAGAGTTGGACTAGATGATCTTAGAGGTCTTTTCCAACCTTAATGATTTTATGACTCTATGGATGGATGGGTGAATGGATCGATGTGACCTATGCAGAAAAATGCCATATGTTATTTAGTGAGTATGTACCCTGTGGAAAAAATAAAATTAAAATTAAAGCAATGTTCATTTCTAAAATCGTTGTTTTTCTCAGAGTACAACACCTTCTCTGCTTGAATACAGTAAGTTGTAATTGCACCCCTTGGGTGCTGTTGCCTAAAACACATATAAAGCTGTTTTCTTCTTATTATGAAAAACTACTTGAAATGAGAGGATACGAGCACTTTCATACCAGGTGCAAAAAATAAGCCATCAGTCTACCTCCTCTATCATTTTAAAAAGTTAAGTGGTGCTGAGATAATTAAATATTGCCTATAATTGGATTGGTGTCCAAGATACTGTAGTACCATTCCTTTGCATTAAAAACAAAGGAGAAAATACAAAAATGATGGGTTTCATATATTCAGAAATCTCATATAGCACAGGTCACAACTCTGGTCTCAACATAGCAGTACACTGTAGGTGTGCCCTGTGACACAGAAAAAAATATCCTTATGGAGTTTCCCAGAAAGTTGCTGATACAAATAATGCTTAAGGGCTTCAGTGGAACTAGAAGTTCTCCCTAAGAAAGTTACTATCTCCTGACATAAGGGTAGACCAAACCTTATAATAAAATTAAGACTATGTTGTGCTTTCTAGCAAAAATGCTTCTATAGTTTGTAGACTTCTTGCAAGGCAAGCAGCATAGATCTTGCTTAGTACTAAGATGAGAGAAGGCCAGGGATTCCCACCAGGTACAGCAAGAGGCCATGGCAAACCACTGGGCAAACAGGAAGCCTCAGGAGACAAAAAGGGAAGCACCAACTGGTTGTAGCACAGGGCTTTAGGAGACAAGTGGGGAAAAGGTGCAGAGAATGCATCAATAAGACCAAAGTAATCATTCTACGGGTCTGGATTTCATTTCAAAAAGCCACATTGCTGCTTAGACTGTCCACAACCAGAAATACGTTCGGTGTGAGGAGGGTGCTTGAAGGTATAGACAGCAATCATCATCCTCAGTCCCGCCCTTCTGAAATTACAGACATTTCTAATAGAACAGGGTGACAGTATTCTTTATACGCTTGTCATAATAAATTCAGATTTACTGTGGAAAAATGAACAGTAGCTTTTCCCTATGTACAAGATCCCCATGGGTTCCAAGACAATGGCACCAGATTCCACAGCAGTGATCTTTTAATTTCAAGACAGCGTTAATTTATTTAAACATCTTGCAATGATCTTCCTTCCCATCCTTCTGGCTCAAGAAGAATAGCACACAACCGAAGTTTGCAGTTAAATATATTTGTTGGCATGACATTTGTTCATGATTTTTCCACTATCCTTCACATTGAAGACAGCTTTCTGTTACACTCCCTGTGCTGCCTGGCTGTGCTCCCTAATGCTCAGTTTTCTGGTGTTCAGAATACTGCCTCATCTGGTACCATGAGAAGGGCAGAGCTGGGGGGTCACAGGGCTGTGGAGGGAAGAGCCTTCTGAGACATGGAGAAATGTTAAGTGACAATATGATTTTGTATTCTTTGAATTCCAGTTCTTAAAAGCAGCCTGAGCAAAATATCCACTGTTAGCTGCCTTGTAAAAAGAATGGGAAATTAGCCTCTGAAACAAATGAAAGGAACAATAGCCAAAAAGCTAATTACTCTTATTTCCATTTAATTCAAAAAGATAAAATTGCCTGAGCAAATATGAGAGAAGTAATTAACTTCATGAATAACCTAAGGCTTACATGTTTCTTTACTTGAGACAGACTTGTGTAGGAAGTTGAAGCACTGAGCTCATGGATGTGTTCTTCTCCACTCTCTTAAAGGTGGGTGCAGCTCTCCAGACCAAGTAGGGATGGATCTCATCCAGAGAAGCATCCTTCCCTGCTGTCCCAAACCCTCCTGGAAGGGTGCCTTGGTGCACAGTGTCTGACCATGGAGAAGCCGTGCAGGGGGCATGGAGTGTCTGAGTGCAGAGGATTTGTGATGCTCAGCACTGATCCTGCAGCCTGAACTGCCATGTCTCTGGGCAGTGGCCTGCCTTGGCAACAGGCTTCAACAACAGGGAGCTCTGCTGCATCTGGAGAGAGCAGGTAAACATGTTATGGGTAGTGCTGCACAGTATGGCTTCACATTTAACAGCTCAAAAGCTAGGGCAGGTAAGGTAATCATTGTTCAGACAAAAATATGTAACAAAAGGTATTTCTTAAAAAAACTAAATCAATCTAAAATGACCGAGATAGAAAAAAATAGTGACAACTGAATGAAAGAAAGTAGTCTCACTATTATCACAATATCATTGGCCCATAGGATAACTTGGACTGGAAGAAACACTGTGGTCTGAGTACAGGAAAGAAGGCTGTGTAGTGATGGAAGACCACTTTTAGAAGGAACATCCTCTGGTGCCAAGGGACACCACTTCAGCAATTTTGGATTTGGATTGCCAGGACCGGCAGATTGCACCTAAACCGTCCTGGTAATGTCTTGGTAGTCTCATGTTGTACACACCCATCTAATTTCCTAAAGAGTTCATTTGTAACTTCGGTAATGATAAATTATGCAAATAAATTATGCAGAATGCGGGAAAAATACTTCCTTTTATTGGCTTTAAGCACAGAGTCTAAGCTGTGCCCCAGCTCCTGTGCAACAATGGAAAAAATGGAAGCAATGGAAACGCACATAGTAATTCCCTATCACCCTCTTTCCACCTTATGCAGTTTTCATAGATATCCATCAAAGCAGCTCTCAAGCTTTTCTTTCCCGATGAACTTTTCTTGAGATGCATTTCATATGTTCATCTGTCTCTTATCCCCTTCCCATGTGTTTCTCCCACAAACACCAGCCTGAGAACTGTTTACAAAATAGTCCACAGATCTCCTGGCAGACTCCAAAGCAAAACACAGCTCCCAGCCAAAGTCTGTGTTTTGGAAACTGTTTCTTTGGTAAGTAGAACTTCATTTTTATTTGATTATCTCCATTTGCTAAATGTGGTTAGCTAGCAATTTACAACAGCTATATTTCATCAGCTGCAAACAGAGGGATTCTAATGCCGTATTTGAAAATAGGAGCAGTAGAAAGATGTCAGGAACAGCCTTCACTGTCATCTTTTGGGCTTTATATTTTATGTTTTCAGAGGGCTCCCTGCATCCCACATTGAGGCAACTGCTCTGTGGCGGTCATCCCCACTTTGGGAATGGTTCTCCTGGTCATTCAGTTCAGAGCCATGAGTTGTCCTTACGAAACAAACTCCTGCTTCTCAACCTCCAAACAAAGACACGATTCTACGTATAGCTGGGATGGGACAATGTCTTTTATTTTCTATATAGTGGCCAGTAATGGTGATCAAGATTAAGAGGGAAAGCACAGAATCATAGAATGGCCTGGGTTGAAAAGGACCTCACAGATCATCTAGTTTCAACCCCCCTGCCACGGATAGGGTAGCCAGTCTCTAGACCAGGCTGCCCAGAGCCACAGAGCCTGGGTTTATCCATTATTTACTTGGTGAAAGTTGGTTTTAGTCTAGACTTTGGAAGATCTAGGAGGGCTTCCTTGTGTCTGTTGTATTTGATGACTAATTACCTATCTTTGCAGTTTTGAGCTTCAGCAGAAATCCGTGTATGAGTATTACGTGGATGGATGGAACTGATGGGGAGCTGCCTCAGATGCAGCCTCTGAATTCTCAGTTGTTTTTTTTTATTTTAAAAAAAAGTCATGCTTTGTCTAATCTTTTTTTCTTAGGAATTTAGTAATGCAAATCAGTGTTGGTGTTTTCTCTCCCAAGCCTTTAGCTCTCCATCAGCTCTGCCACTAGCACACACCACATGAACAGACCGTTCTTTTTCTATGTTCACACCCAGTAAAAGGAGCAGCCTGGAGATATTTATTAAAGCTGATGGGCCCTTCATCCAGCCACAGTGTTACTATTCTGAAGATTGTTCACTCTCCTTGCTTTAAGTATCCAGAACGCTTGCTGTAGTGTTATGTAGTACCATACTGCAGTGCTAGACCTTTTATCTGCCCGGACTTCTTTGCTAATAGCCAGGATCGTGTAAAATTAAAAGGAGAAAAACATAAAGCATGTTTTGCTGGTGCAGATAACATAGAGGAGATAATAACAGCATTCACCTACAACTTTATTCAACACAATCTCTTACAGAGCGTGCTGAAAATATGCAGACAGTCAATCTGTGCATGGCTTGGGTGAGTGCTCTGGACAATATTTCTGACTTGATCCTCAGCTGATTTAAGTTGGCATTAGTGAGCAGCCTACACTTTTGAAGAGTTTCAGCTACGTATACTGAACTCGTGTTTATCTCAAATTTAAACAAAGTATAAAGATAGCCAAAGATCACAACTCTTCTAACCAAGAGTCCATTTAGACCTGCCTGAGTGACAGAAATGTTAAACCTGCTCATAACAGTTATGCAGCAGATTGTCTTCACGGGGCAAACTGAATTTCTGGCCCAAGCAATTTTCCAGCATACCTAAAGTTGGTTGATGGGTTTTTTTTTTTTTCATGGTACAGTAAAGTTCCAAGGTTCCCAGGGCAAGAATCATAGAATGGCTTGGATTGGAAGAGACCCCAGGAGTATTTTTTCTGTATCTATTCCATGGAACTCATACGGAAAAAAAAAAAAAAAAAAAGAAAAGAAAAAAGAAAAAAAAAAACAGAAAAAAAAGAAGCAGAATTTGATTTAAAACGATGTACTTTGTGAAAGAGTAAATTACAAATGTAGCAGCTAAAGAAATTTTTAAAATGAGGTACAATTCCTAGATGTCATCAGCAAGACGTACTGTTACTCCTTGGTACAATTCTGCATTATAATGAACACTAATAGAATACACCACGTGTATTCTTGAAATAAAAATCTTTATGGTGTCTTTTTTTTCCTGTGTTTTAGAAAATTAGGTCTTCAATTAAATACTGTTTTAGAACCCTACAGATACCCTACAGATATTTATTATTTAAAAATTTAATGGTTTCTTTTTAAAAAATTTTTGTTTCAGGGATAAACCAAATCTCTATACCTCAGCTTGTAGTACATCCTCATCTCTGATACTAATTTTATTATTCATTAATCAGATGAAAATAATGTACATTTCTTACATACACTATTTAACTACAGTTTACATTATCCAAGTTGCATATACTTCTTGTTTGAGATATGCAAACCTTTTCATTTCCACTTTGTTTAGTTTTGGTTGGCAAGAAGCTATTACAGATATTGATGCTTTGCCCCATGCTTTACCCCAGTGCTGTTCGTGAGGGCGTTTTCCTCTCCAAATCACACTCATACATTTTTCATGCACAGCTGATGGTGGACCTCTACCTCTGGAGAAATCAAAAAAGCTCCTTCATCGGCCAACTTGGTGCACATACTGTATAGGACTTGCAGGAGATGTGAGCATAATTGAACAGGAAACATTAAGTTTAGGATTCAGATTTCAGTTAAGACCTTGGAAAGAATTTAAGGAAACTAAAGTACTTCATCAAAGTGCTTGAAGGTCTTGTTTCCTAAAGCACAAGGAAAAGACCCCAATATTTTATTAAATAAGATGTTAACCACAAAAGTTGACATCATCCAGCATGAACTTTTGAAGAAGGGAGAGCCCAACTTAAGGGGTGCAGTGGCTTTGTGCTGCATGTCCCCATGGAGGGGCTGGGCAGCTTCCTGAAAATGTGTTGGAGGTTTCAGTGCCAGCAGTGGTACTGCAGGACTGGGGGGACAAAAGGGAAGACACATCCACACTCCTTCCTGCATGGAGCTGTGGCATATCCACTGTGAAGGACATGAAAGATTTCTAGTTCTTTTTCATTTCTCTTCTGCCATTTTTCATAGCATTATCCCTGTTTTTGGAAGTTCTCCAAGGCAGAAACTGCTAATTCTCAATTTCTGTGGCACATTAGTGGATTTGCAGTTTTGGCAGTTTTTAAGAATCAATCTTCAAACAGCAGCTTAGACCTGTATGCAGACTTTAAAAAAAATATTATGTATTTATATAAAGTGTGTTATATATCAAATATAAAGATATATGGATTGGTTTTGTAGGGCTCCACTGAGGTCCCTTGCTGTGGTCCCCAGTCAATCTTCTGGATCCACTTGGGTTTCAGCATGTCCTATCCTTCGCCATAGTTCTGCTTCACTGTGTCTTACTGGGACCCTTTTAAACTTTGCTTGTTAAAGGAAGCCCTGGCAAATCATTTTCTCGCCTTTTGCTAGACATAGGCAACTCTGAATAATCTATCTAAACAAAGGGAACATCTTGTCCCTGATTCATATCAGTCAGTGCAGCAAATATGCAATTTTTCTACTTAGACACTATGCTGCTAGAGGATTACAAAAGATTTAAGAAGCTACAGGTTTATTTGACTTATCTTCCACTATGCAGAGGGTGTCTCCTGGCTTTCTATTCCTCTGAATTCTTCGCCCTCGCAGCCCCTCTCAGCAGTCCCCTGACTCCCCAGCTGTGCAGTGTGTGGTGTATGATGTCCTTTCATTTTGCTGCTTGTTCACTCTTCCATCTATGGTTTCCTCTTGAGATTGCCCTCGTAGATCTTGCTTTTGATCTTCCCACCCTATGTGGCAGCTTGCTGCAGAAGAATATCATGTCTCAATGTCTGCTCTGCCTTGGGTTCAGACCGATGGCATTGTCAATATGTCAGTGGCAAATCAGTTCCAAGACTGAATTTTTCCTCCTCCCATTTATGTCCTTAGAATTACAACAATGCTCTGTTTTTCTTCACACAGCACATGATTTTATTGACATTATGTGAATCATAGAATCACAGAATTGATTGGGTTGGAAGGGACCTTTAAAGGTCATTGAGTGCAACCCCTCTGCAATGAACAGGGACATCTACAGCTAGACCAGGTTGCTCAGAGCCTGGTCTAAGCTGACCTTGAACATCTCCAGGGATATGACACCTCTCTGGCAACCTGTTCCAGTGCTTCATTACCCTTACCACAAAAAACTTCCTTATATACAGTCTAAATCTTCTCTCTTTTAGTTTGAAACCATTTTCCCTTTTCCTATCACAACAGACCATGCTAAGGAGTCTGTCCCCTTCTTTCTTACAGCTCTCCTTTAGAAACTGAAAGGCCTCCATCTGGTCTCCCCGGAGACCAGATGTTCAGTCTTCTCTTCTCCAGGCTGAACAGCGCCAGCTCTCTCAGCCTGTCCTTGTAGGAGAGGTGTTTCGTCCCTTGAATCACTTCTGTGGCCCTCTTCTGGATGTGCTCCAACAGATGTGTCTCTCCTCTACTGAACTTCTACATCTGGATGCAGTGCAGAGTAGAAGGGCAGGATCACGTCTGGCCATGCTGGCCACATTTCTTTTGATGTATTCCAGGGTATACGGTTGACTGTGAAGGCACATTGCTGGCTCAGTCCAGCTTGCCATCCACCTCTACCCCCAGGTCCTTTTTGGCAGGGCTGTGCTCCATTCTTACATTCCCCAGCTTGTATTGATAGGCAGGGTTGCTATGACCCTGGTGCAAGACGTTGCACTTGCTTTTGTTGAACATCATGATGTTCTCCTGAGCCCAGTGCTTGAGCTCATCTAGGTCTCTCTGGATGGCATCCCATCCCTCAGGCAGGTAGATAACACCACTTGGTGTTGTCTGCAAACTTGCTGAGAGTGCACTCAATCCACTGTTTATGACTTTGATGAAGATATTGAAGAGCATCGGTCCCAGTAATGATGAGTCCTCCTTGTACTTTTTCACACTAAAAAGGTGTTCCAACCTTTAGGCAGCGCTCTTGCCTTTGTCCTACACCTGTACCATTTTTACCATGATTTTTGAAATGATGGGGCCTGAACTGTTCACATTGAAGCAGGAGGGATGCACCATCTTCACAGCACCGCCATTTAGTTTCTGTTTTGATTTCAAGCCTTTCCTAGTAACTTTTTGAGCACTGGTAACAATGAACTGAGAGCTTTCCACATAGAATTATCAGCAGTGACTCCTAGTTCTCTTTTCTGAGTGGTAATAGCCAATTTGAAATCTATTAAATTATATATATGCAGTTAAGGTTGTTCTCTCCATGTTCACTGCTTTACATTTATTGACATTGAATTTTGTCTGCTATTTTACTGCCTGCACATTCAGGGCAGGTCCATCAGGCTGAATGTAGATGAATGGCCTCAACCATTCATTCACATTTCACTGTGAAAATGGAGAGAAAGAGACATTTCTAGAGTTGTTGATTCCTTAAATTCTAATGTAACTGTCTCTTACAGGTAAGAGGAATCAAGCCTCTGAAATGCCTGTTTCCACTAATTACTAATGAGCTTCATGTGTCTCAGTATTTCTAACAACTATGTTGAAGATGGTCCATGGTTAGGTGTGATTAATTCTGTGCGTTAGATTGAAAGCTGTTTCTATGACAATCTGCAGTCAGCTGTAGTCTATATTGTCCTGAACTATTTGACAATTATCAGTAAGCTTTGCTACACTGTTTGTAGATGATGGTGGGACTCCCTTGGAAATCACTCTTTTTGGAGAGAAAAAAAAAAAAAAATATATATATATATATATATATAATTTATTCTTACTCTTTCTTCTTGACTCTCTATGAGATCTTTATTTATCTACCCTCTTGATCTTGTCAAAACCTTTTTGCAAACACAGGCATCCAGTAGCACTGACACCACCACAACTTGTGATCACACTGACTCTTTCAAAGGAGCTCAGTAGACTTATGAAGCAAGATTTTCTCTCCGCAGAAGCCACTGTATTTTCTTCCGTTTGTATCACGTTTATCCTGTGTTTAATGATATGCTTCATCATAAATTTCCCAGGTTAGTGTTCCCAAATCATCATGGATCTGTTAATCTCTGAACTCCTAATTTTCCTCTCCAAGCTGGAATCACCTTTGCCACCTTTTATTCCCTGAATACCTGTTAAGTGGTAGGTTGTGCACTGCAGTTAGCGGGTCTTTTACAGCCCTGGGGAAATGCAATACAGTCCTGCTGATTAATTACTGCTTATTTTATTGATCCATCCTAAATCTTTCTCTACTAAATTTGAGTTACTCCCATTTTCTTCTCACCAGGAAAGCCCATGTGATGGGAATCTCCCTGAAACGCTCTTCAGTATTTAGAGTCCACTTAGCTTCTCCCTTTCTGAAAGCCCCTTGGGCCATATCAATTATCTATCAGGCTGTTGGCTTCCAGTGTGTTTGGGAAAGGTTTGAGGATTTTTTTATTTCTTTCACAAGTCTCTCATTTTTCTGACCTACCTCCTCATGATTTCACTGTTTCTTCACTAAAATGTACTCTTTACAGACCTCCTGGGGCATGCACATGTCCAACCTTTTGACTTACCTGGGCTGCACAGAGGAAAGAAAAATTGTCATGGGCGTATATACGTAGGTTGTTCTGAAAGTAATGCCTCCTATTCATTTCTGTGCAAACTACAATAGATACAAAAAAGCACAGTAACACTACTTGATAGAGCCAGTTCTCAGCTACAAAACACAACATAGTCACCACCATTAGCTCTGCATTTTTATTAGTGGTGAATAATCTCCTTCATGCCATGCTTGTAAGAATCTGCACCGGTGGAGGTGGCCTAATGTTGCTGTCAGCGCTGCTGATGTGCACCACTCACTGCCTCACTGTGCTCACATCCACTGGTTGGTCTCCAGAAACATTCACAAGTGTTGATGAACGTTAATGTGTGCAATTTTTTTTCCACGTGGAAGGATTCAGGGACACATCTTTGCTTCATATGCACGTCAGGCACCATTCAGTCAGATTGCCCCTATCTGCCATCTGTCACATGGCAACAAAATATAATGGAATACCAGTGGGAAGGTTCAGCCTCTACTGTCAGACCACCAACATCCTCCTCTGACATTGTGGGCCAGCATAATAAAACAGCACAAATAAAATAAAGGAAGTACTACTTTTGCAGCAGCCCTCATAAATCTAGTAGTATAGTTAATGTATATATAAGTAACAAAACATTTTATTTTTAAACATTTTTTATTAAAACATAAAAAGGATAGCAGCAAAACGGTAAAACTAGAGGGATGTTGGATCTTGTTTCTGTGAAACTAACTCATCAAGTTGGCAGTGGTTCGATGGCAGTGGTTGCCATTCTCATTGAGTTCTCAAGGTGTTTGTCAGAGATTTTTGATGAAATTTTATTCTTCCTGTGATTCATCTTTGAAAACAGTTGTTCACAAATGTGATTAATAATCACTGCCAACAGTGATGACATGAATAAGGAGTGACTGTGAAGTGAGGGATATTTCTCTCTGATAAAAGAGGGCTTGTGAAAGTCCAGTAGAGAGACATGATAAAGTTTTTCAGTTGAATATACAATTGTAACTCTGGGCATTTGAAAATTTGCAGGTCATGTATTTATGTCAACTAGAAAGAGTCACAAATAAACCAAAAAATTTGAGATTTTTTTTTTCAATCTTGAAACTAGTTCTCAAATTCCTGTATCAAAATGGAAAGCAGGGCTGCATATTTTTTGCTGTTCACAGGACTGTGTTTAGTGAATGTATCAAAATCCATAAACTAAATTGCCATAACTTGAGCTGGCACTGGACTGTGCTCACTTCGTGCCCCAGTTTCAGCCCAGGTGGGGTTAATAACACACTGATGTTCGGTCACTGCTGAGTGATGGGTGTGCGTGGGGCAGAGGGCGGCCGCACTGTGAGATGTGCTGGGCCACATGTGGCCCACAGGCTGCAGGTTGGACATGCCTGTTCAGTGATTCGTTCCGTGTGTTGTTTATATCAATCACTTCTTTTTCTTTCTTTATGTCATAAAAGTAGAACAACATACTGTTCACAGTGGATTAGAGGAAGTGAACCAATGGCCTAAGTTCAGCATAGAGAAATTTCCATGAGTCTGAAATGGCTGAGTATAGGCAGTTCAGGCAGCCTTCCTTCCTTTCTATGCCATTTTTAGACTGTTTTCTGCTCCACTAAAGAAAAAAAAAAGGAAAAAAGAAGAAGTAAGAAACACCTTTAGTTTTTAAATTAATTGAGTTAATTCTGTTCTCTCAAGAGAGGAACTTCCTCGGAGGAAGGTCAATAGCATAATTAGCAAAACATAATTAAGAAAGTGCTGCTGAAGAATCAAGTTAGTGGCCACATGCTTCCCCTGCTAGAGGGATGAGAGCTAAGGCTGAGGTGGGAGCATCACTGATCCTGTATGCTGAACCTGCTTCTAGTGAGCACAGTGCTGGGGAGTAGCAGGCAGTGTTTGTCCATTGATTTGGCTTGTGGAAAAGTCAGAACTTGGCCAAAAAAGATCTTTAGGCCATATATCTCTGGCATTTGAAATTCAATGTGTACTATATTTGGGTTTTAAGCATTAGATCTTTTGCAGCTTTGTGTGACAAGTGTGCATAAAAGGCGCAGAGTCATAAAATCATCGAATATCCCAGGTTGGAAGGGACCCATAAGGGTCATTGAGTCCAGCTGCACAAGACCACTCAAAAAACTGACCATACGTCTGAAAGTGTTGTCCACAAGCTCCTTGAACTCCGGCAGCTTGGGGCTGTGACCTCTGCCCTGGGCAGACTTTTCCATGCCCATCACCTTCTGGTGAAGGATCTTTTCCTAACCCTCAACCTGACTCTTCCCTGATGCAGCTCCATGCCATCCCTTGGGCCCAGGGTCTGCTGTCACCAGAGAGAGGAGATTAGCACTGCCCCTTTGCTCCCCTTGTGAGGAGCTGCAGCCACCATCAGGCATCCCCTCAGCCTTCTCTGCTCTGGCCTGAACCAACAAAGGGACCTCAGCTGCTCCTCATACGTCTCGCCCCCAAGGCCCTTCACCATCTGTATAGCATACATTATGCTCCTTGTTTCAAAAATCCGTTTTTCATTACACATTCATTTGTAATACTCCATGTTTTCAATTTGTACTTTGATATTTATTTGCAGCTATGAGCTTGTCTGAAGTCTGAAACAGCATAAAGCCTACTAATTCAGTGCACACTCTCCGTTTATTTTATCTTAACAAACCCTCTAATCTCTGGAAGGGTTTTATAGAGGGAATCACAACTAATTTGGAATAATAGCCATATTTGAAAGTTTGGAGCTCTGTGTGTGACAGCTCATAAATACAAAAATCAACAGTTATCTAATCAATTAGTGGTGAATTATTGTTGCTTTTTCTCCGTTAAGTACCACAGGAACAGAAGAATTGCCATATTTTAACAGACCACTAGACAGACAGGCCCATTGCCGTTTCTTGCACAGTGGCCAGTACCACATTTCAAAGAAAGGTTCAACAAAATGATGTAGTAACCCACCCACAGGAATAGCTTTTCTAAACTTCCAGCAACCGATACCTGATTTATGTCTTCAGTGGGGGCAATGAAAACCCCAAACGGCTTCATACATCTCTTCCCACAATGACTTTTGAGTATCTGACAGCCTGCAGACCAGCTTTGGGATGAGCTCGCATCTTGCGGTTTTGGTTTTGATTTTATTTTTTAAAGAAAAGTTAGTGGCATTACAGGTATGTACTTGGTTGCTTCAGGAGAAGGACACCTGTATTTATCTCTGTAACAGATACTGGAAGGGTATTTTGCTCACACGAGAGGAAAAATGGATTTCACCTGAAGGAAAAAGAGATTTTCCTCACATTATTCTATACAGACAATTTAACCACAGTACTGACAGAGGAAATTAAGTCACGTCCATCTCATCTCCTCATTTTGGCTTCTCAAACTCCAATCCTTATTCAATGAGCCCAGAGCACAACAGAGTTTAATGATACAGCTACATTCTCACTTTTAGTAAATGAGTTAAGACTAACAGCTGATTTTACATGTAGGAATGACATCTGCCAATTGCTAAGCACAATTATCTTTCAGTCACTACTATGCAGAATTATCTTCATTAACAAGTAAAATCTTATGGGATTTTTAATTGCCCATGAATTTTTTTCCTCCTATGATTCAATTTTTACTTGAGTATTTAATACTGGTAGTACTGTAAACTCTATTAATTTGGTCATAAAGAGCATATCTTGAGGTGATTGAATGCTCTCAGTGAGGTTTTCCTGGTGTTCATTTACACTATTCCAGATTTTATCAGGTGGACCATGATTTTTTTCTATACATTTTTTTAGTATGGATTGAATTCATTTGGCAACGCTACTTAGGCATGGATGGCTGATGGACCATTTCAAGTCATTGATTACAGAGGAGGTTGATCAGAGAAATGTTCTCATTGACCTGAATCTGATTCTTCTCTTCATTACTAAAAGCTAAATCATTTTCACTATGAAGGTAAGGAATGAGTTACCTTATTGTAATATTTATATATTTAATGTGTATGTTTGTAGTTTCTATGAGAGCTATATAAAATAAAGAATATATTGTGCAAAAACATTTCATATAGCCCTGGGAACAAAAAACACACTGCATACATAGAAACTTGCTTGTTTCCAGTGCGTAAATGCACGAGAACAACTCTCAGAAGTTTCTTTTGTTAGTTGGTGACGTTGATGGCTCTTCTTTTCTACAGTTTTTCTGTTCTCTGTGTTCTTGTGTGGGTTTTCTTTTTTCATTTTTATTTTTTCTTAATTTAGTATCCTGTCCATTTAATAATTCAATATTTTATGTTGATAATTCATTTTTATTTAACTGATTCCTTGCTTAAAATACCTGATTTTCCATTCCCTTCTGTAGAGATCTTCATATTATTTTGTCTACTCAGTTTTTCACAAAACCTCAGTAGACTCATGAATGGTACACTATTATCACTTAACAACATGTTTACATTTTTTAAATGTAAATGATCTTCTCACTGTGAGCTTTATTTCTCAGACTATCAGGTAAAAACTTACTTATTTATTTATTTTGGCAAACACGTAATGCCAATATTTCATGGTGAGTACTATGTAGATAGCAGATCAACTTGTTTCTTGAGTCATTAAAAAATGACAGTTATTCACCTATTTTTTCAACTATTCATGAAAATGGACTTCACGCATGCCTCCATTTATGTGTGTGGGAGCAATCAAGACTAAAGGAGCCCAGGGTGTCCTTTATTTGCAGCCACTGGACTTTCCTGCTGTAGAGAGAGCTGAAAGCAGTACTAAGAATTTATCTGGAGAAACCAAGAGCACCACCCAGTTACAGGCAGTTGGCCACGTGAAGGCCTAGGTTAAAATTACCTTGGCTGGAAGAAAGTGGAAGCAAGACTACCACAGCCCCAGATGTGTCCTTGTTGCTCCTAGAAAGGAAGGAGAGCAAGAAGGCATCTGCAACCTCTTGGGGCTGGGAAGGGACTTTCATCTCCAGCCTTTTCATGTCTGTGAGGTAAGAGAACTCCTCTGGTGGCTTTCCTAGATCCCATCCAGAGGCACGCGAGTTCATATGTTCAACTGGGCGCCCAGGAACACAATCCAGGGTTGGGCATTTCAGCAGCTGCCAGGATCATGGCTTCATCCCATGTGACAGTCAGCTTGTCTTGTTCTCCAGAGATCTCCTGGGACTTCAGAGGAGCACAGCAAGGTTATGCTCCTGGCTAAGGTTCCCAAAGTCAGTGGGATGTAGCTGGATAAAAGTGCTGAAAGTTCAAAACTGCAACATTCGCTATTGCAGCATCTAAAGCTTTTTGTGGACTGATCTGCTGGGGAAATTCTAGTTAGGTAAACGCAGTGGTGTTTTACAATTGACTCTAACAGCCCTGGAAGTCATTTAAAGAATTCTGTACAAAAGCTAATGCTGCTACTCTAGATATTAACTGGCTTTGGTCCCATAATATTGAGAGATCAAAGCCACCCCTAAGTCTTGCTGTAATGAAAGATAGATTTTAACTGTTCCTTGAAAGCAGTGAATCTTTTCAGTTCTTTTTCTCCGAAAAGCTCTTTCTATTAGATGTATTTTGATAGAGAGATGTATTTCTATTAGGTGTATTTCAAAAATAGGAAATGTCCCTATTTTTTAATTTTTTTTAAATTTTTTTTACTAAACGCTCCTATCTATATGATAAAAAAACCTAGTAGGCTTGCAGATGCTGAAGAAAAGAGCCCTCAAGAGGACAGCATTTTGAAATGGAACAGGATTTAAAGTGAGAATTCATGAATATCTCTTTTGCTGGAGGTGACTGCAAATCTTGCAGAGATCTGAGGTGCACAGGTCAGCACAGCCCAGCTGGGAGCTAGCCATGACTGCACAGCCCTCTGCACTCTACCATGGTGGAGATGGAGGGCAGCACTCAGAGAGGTGACTGCAAGCCTGGCCCAGCTCCGAGGTGAGGAAGATGAGGGTACTCCAGTACAGGTGGTGCAGGTAAAGGTGCAGTGGGCTGGGGCTTGAGAGCAAGCTGTCCTCAATGGTTCCTAAACTATGGTCCTGCTCCATGAAAATGGGCCACTCTCAGCTTTTTGGCTTGGTCCTTGATGAAGAAATTCAGGATTGGGGGAATCTCTCTGAGCTCAGCACTACCACATGTATCACTGTTTTGCCTTTTGCTGGTTAGTTCTTTATTAATGTTGACTCTGCAGTTGTCTTCTGAATACAAATCACTGCACTGTGTATCCCTAAGACAAAAAGCAATTACAGTCACTGCCAAGTTAAAAACATCTATCCTAAAGAAGGTCTTGCTGGTCCAGGGCATGAAGTGTAGCTGTGAGACAGACCAATGAGGAGTTATTCCAGTGCTCCCCTGTTATGTATCTTGGCTCAGGTCACTTTGTCTGACTGCTTTCTTTTCACTCTTTCTACACAGTATCCTTAAGCCAATGGATGACAAAAGTCCCAGGAGCTGAGAACTGTCAGCTGCCCTAGGTCCATAGTCCAGCACAGCAAGGACTACGGGATGGTAGGAAGTATGGCATCAAGATACTGGTCTAAATTTGTCTCCCTCATTGAAAGTCTCTAAGGCCCCAGAACATATAAAGAGATAATTGATTGTTCTACTTAGCAGAACTTTGGTTGCATTGTAATTGCGTTCCTTTCTGCCACTGAGCAGCTGGACAAAGCAGAGTCCTGCCACACAAACATGGAAATACTTCTGTGTAAAGATGGAGGGAATACAGCTGTTTGATACAGAAAGCAGACGAAAAAGTAAATGTATGAAGAGAGTTTATATGGAGTGGAGGAGGCACAAAATAATGATTGGCATAGAAAATCAAGGTCTCCTATTTGTTCCTCTGCATAATGCCAAAGCAAGACAATTTTAAATGGAAGAGAGAAGCAGCACATCCTGAGTAGTGCCTTATTAATTTACAGTGTTAACTGATGCATCAAAATGAAGGATTTAGTAAAAATAAAAGTAAAGAAATATCGTTGTATGGAAAATAAGAAAACCCTAAACCTTGTTGACAGCACCACGTGACAAAAAAAATGACCACAATTAACTGCTAGTGGGTTTCTTGATTCTTCGTTTTAGCAACGATCTGAACAAGAGCTTAAGATGGCCAGATCAATTCTCTGTTCAGGTGTTATAGTTCTGTACAGGTGGCTTTAGGCATTAATTTCCTAAAATGCTCCACGTTTACAGCACAATGACACTGTTTGATAGAGCAAAACACTATTCTTCGACATAGTCACCACTGTTAGATGTGCATTTTTGCCAGCAATGAACAAGTGCCTGCATGCCGCCCTTGTAAAAAATCTGCACCAGCAGAGGTGCCCCAGTGTCACTGTCACCACTGCTGAAACGCCCCATCCGCTGCCTCACTGTGTGCACATCCACTGGTTGGTCTCCATCAACATTCATCCAGTGTTGATAAATATCAGTGTGTGCCGTTCTTTCCACATGGAGGAATTCAGTGACACACCTTTGCTTCATACACACTTCCATGTCAGACACCAATGTGTCAGGCTGCCCCTCTGCTGCCATCTGTCACACGGCAACAGCATGGAATGGAGTATTGGTGGGAAGGTTCAGCCTTTCCTGCTGTACCACCAACATCCTCCTCTGACGTCATGGGCCACCATAATAAAATAGGAGGCATTACTTCTGTAGCAACAGTACTTCTGTACTTCTATTATGTTTCAAAAGACTTCAGTTGCATGTGCTGCTGTTGTCAATAACATGTTTTTTTCTGTAGCCTGAGCAACAGCAAGGAAACTGAATTTGGCTAGAAACCAAACTGAAGAGGAGTACATTCATTCCTGGGGTGACTCCACTGACCTCGCTAGAGCTCAGAGAGTTCAGGCCAGCCTTGACCTGTTTTTCTGCAAATTGTGTGGCTGGGGAAATGCTGTTCCATCCATCTTTGTTCAAAGTAATAACAAGAGAACTCAGAAAGGTTCAGGGAAGGGTGACAAACATGACTAGAGCAGAAGAAAGCTCTCCTATCAAGGGAGATTGATAAGGCTGAAGATGTTTCTCTTAGAAATGAGACAAATAAAAAGGAGACATAGAAAAAAAAAAAAGGAAACAAAATAATAAATAGTCTAGGAGGACTCATCCACACACCCTTTGTGATCTGCTAAAGGGCCTCTAGTGGTCCATGGCAGTGCAATCAAATTAAGGCCCTGCTAGCTGTCTCCTCTCTCCTCTCTAGCTGACTGCACTGTTGGGATCTCTGCTTGAGTCTCTTTTAACTGTTGACTGAAGACTGAAAACTGACAAAGACTGAAAACCAGTACAGTACTATAGGGAAGGTGAGGCAGCCACTGTTCACATTTCCCACTCATGAAAGGGGTACTCATAGAAAGTGAAGACTCACATATTCCAAGCTAGAAGAAAGGGAGATGCTTTTCTGCATTATATCCAAATGCTAATGAGGCCAGACAACAAATGACATTTGAAGAGACTGTGCTTTGCAGCAAGACTTTCACCGGGTTATAAGAGCTGCTAAGGGTTTGCTAGCACATTTATAGCAGCTTACAGCAACAGAGACTTAATGTGACACACTAATTATGCCACTCCTGCTTAATGCAGGGGATCTCATGGTACCTAATGGGCGAGGATGGGCAGATGGGAAGGAGCATGGCCACATCTCTGTCTGTGCTAGCACTGGTGCCATGTTGCCACCTTGATCTCTGCCCAGTAATTTCTTTTTCAATAGAGCAATAGTTCCTACCTTGAGTTCAAAACCAGCAATGCTCTGTCTAGAAGAGAAACTTGTGCAAATAATTTCATTTCAGAGAGTGGACTATGTTTTTAAAAGGGGTCTTCCTGTTGCTCTTCTGAACCCCACCCTTAGTTACATCTCTGCACAAGCCATTCCTACGGCTAAGAAGACCACATGCATTTTATTTTTGTTTTTATTATTTAGGGATTAATGTAACACCGAAGTCTTCAAAGCTTGAAAGACAAAGATGAGCAGGCTGAAATACATTATGTCTTGGGCTGTTCTAGCAGTTTGTTGCTTCCACTGAATGAAGAAGCACTTTGCACCATGCCATTCCTACTGCTGGTATTTGCCTTGAGCTCTGCTGAGCTGATGTGGTCACACTGCAGTCAGAAACATAACATGACAAAAAAACAAGGTCAGCTGCTTGGATGGTGAACTGAGCCGACTGACTGTCACTGCAGCAAGAGACAATTGGGTTCCACTTTTAGATACAAGACACTCAGCTGAGGTTCTTTTTCTTTCTTCCTCCTCCTACCCTCCCCCCCCCTCCACTCTTTGATGTAATTAAAAATATCATTCATATATTTCAACAATGGCTTTGCTAAGCAGGCAGGTGATAAAGACAATGTGAGATGCAGCTTTCCCAACTGAAACAAGTCCCATTTCTCTTTTTTGAATATGTATTAGTCCCAAAGGAGTATCAGCAGCCTGGAGCAGGTTAGCTGTACCAGCTGGCTGGGGCACTGGCTACAGTTCCTTTGCCAGTGTTTTAGTATTATGCAGGCCACTTCTATTTGGCTAGGAGATTTGATCATAGCTTCACTGATATAGAAGGAAGACAACGGCACAAGCAGAGAGAGCAAATTGGCATCCCTGGGAAAGGCCAGGATTGGGTGCCGTGCCTCAGCCACAGCAGGAAGCCAGCTGCACAAGCAGAACCCTCAGCACGCAACACCTGAACCGAGCACCATGTGCTCCTACCCAGTGGTCAGCATGAGGAACAGCATCTTGCGGGCAATGAAAGTGAGTCAGAGCAAACACATTTAATCACGCAATTTACTGAAGGCTGGCAATGCACAGGCACTATGTGTTACTGCAGGTCAGTTGGTGTTTGGTCACTTTGTGCATGATAGTGAGATATTGTAGCCCCTGCTGGTGGGGACTGAGCCCCGCAGATGAGCGTGTGTGCTGGAGGAAGGGGAGTCTTATCTGTGGGGCTTTTCCTTTTTTTTTCTTCTTTTAAAAGCCTTTGAATATTAGAAGTTTGTTCTTGTCTTTGTATGAAGGGATTTGCCCTGATAATTCTTGATAACAGCTGCTAATGGGAATTTTATTCTTAAATCTCCTGTGTTTTGAAGTACCATTTAGTTTTCAAAGCAAACTTAAACTTGTAAGCAATCAAGGAAGAAAAACTACCAGAGTAGCCTCCGCACTGCCTGGCTGATGCAGTATTACTTTCTTCTGATGAGCTCTGTAAACTTATTTTTAGCTTACGTGTGTAGCATGGAAACCCAGACACAGAGCTTTCAGTGCTTATCACTTCAAACAAGAAATCAACAACCTCCCCCCAGAAAGAACAGGCTGGAGGTGTGCGAGGCACACCTTTCCCTCCTCCTGCAGAGCCTTCACTTTTCATATCAAAGGGTCTTGGCTGCAGCGATTCCCTGCCTGCTTCCCTGGCCTCAGAGATACGAGGCCCCCGCAGAAACTGGGACACCCCAAGTTCAAAGGGAAGCAGCTGGATGGGACGCGCTCTGCAAACACGGCTCCTCTCACTGGGTTTTAAATTCCCCTTACCACACTTTTTGCTATCTTTTTGTTCTATTTTTTCTTCTCATGTTTCTCACCCAGTTAATGTCATTTTATTTGTACAGCTGTTGGAGGAGATCTGGAGAGAGAAACCAGCTGCACAATGGATGCTGGAGTGGTTTTATGGGATGGCCTTCTGCTCCTCATCTTCTCAGAGGTCTGCAGGTACAAACCCATTCACGTGAGTTCGTCTGAGGAACATAGGCAGTCACATACATTCTAGTTTATGGGAGGTTGAGAGCATTTTCGGATGCTTACATGAAAATTGACTATTGTACGTGGACAAAACAGTGAAATAGCAGACACAGTAAAGATGTGTCCAGATCTGGAGTCCTCAGTGCAGGAGAGACATAGAGCTGTTGAAGCACGTTCAGAGAAGGGCCACAAAATGATTCATGGAATGGAACACCTCCCATACGAGGCTAAGCTGAGAGAGCTGGGGCTGGTCAGCCTGGAGAAGAGAAGGCTGCGAGGTGACCTGAGAGCAGCCTTTCAGTATCTAAAGGGAGCTATAGGAAAAAAGGAGACAGACTCTTTAACAGGATCTGTTGTGACAGAATAAGGGGAAATGGTTTCAAGCTCAGTGAGGGTAGAGTTAGACTGGATATAAGGAAAAAATGTTCTACAGTGAAGGTGGTGAGGCACTGGAACAGGTTGCCCAGCGATGTGGTTGATGCTCTGTCCCTGGAGACCTTCAAGGTGAGGCTGGATAGGGCCCTGGGCAACTTGATCTAGCTGTGCATATTGCTATTCACTGCAGGGGAGTTGGACTAAGTGGCCTTCAGAGGTCCCTTCCAACTTTAAGGATTCTATGATTCTAAAGTAATCACCTTTCTAACATATCTATCGATGTCTTCCATATTGTTCTTTTCCAGAATAAAAGTAATCTGCTTTTAGACTGTGAAAAATTGTCTCAAGTCAGCTTGAAGGAAGAAGACAGAAACCACCATCTTTCTATTTTAAGAGATTTTCACAACTGGAGACTCATAATCAGCACCTCAGCATATGGACGCAAAGGTTAAGCTACAAAGATACCCACACTGCTAAGAGCAAGGAGGGTCAGTCAGGCTCCACACCTGCACTATCAGCCCACCTCTGGAAATGAGCCTGGCCCAAGCAAAGGAAGGAAGACAAGTGTAACAGTATGCATTCATATTCCATTAATATCCATTGAAGTTTGCCTTTTAATGCTAATAGGCTTTTAATGATTTTGCATAGGAGAATGCCCTGTTTAAGGAAAGAGAGGACAACTAAAAAGTTAAAATATAGGGAAAATAATTTAATGTAACTGTGTAGCATGCCATTGAAATTTATAATGTAACTTGCACTGCCTCGGTTATGAAATGCTCTTATCCTTATTCTGTTCAATACAGTTTAGCACTCAACTGAAAGATTGCTAATAACTGCTCCTCTTTAACATGCTCACTAACAGCACTATTTTGCAGCCCATTTTCAGCGCACACTTCAGTTTAGAAATGGACTCTGCTGCTGGCTGCCAGCTGATTTCCCTTCAACATACAGGCAGTGCTAAACTTCACTAAGGCTGTCTTTACATGGAGCTGTAGGGATGAAGAGACGTATATCTGTGTATCTTGACTTCATTACAGCAGCAGCAAACATGAAACCAAAAATCAGGAGTGCAACAGATAAATAAATGAATATAGAAGAAAACTCTCCAGCTTCTGCCTTGTTCCTGTTTGCCCTGTCTTATGAAAGAACAATGAAACTCTATATTGCACCTTTATGGGGAGAGCAGAGGTATGGGACTTATAAGCTTCACATTACATGAGGAGGAAATGCTCTCCATCAAACAGGTAAACTGTATTGCGTTTAGCCAGCACAAGTGGGATACTGGGGGAAACAACCCGTTAAATTACCATTTACTAGCCCAAGAGAGACATACCCAGATCACAAAAGTGTGAGGGCACAAGTTTAACTTTGGAAGGACGACAGCATCACCTGGTTCTGGGTGAATCACAAAGCCTAGAAAAGTCCCTTTAAATTCTCTTTATTCGTTACTGCACAGACCGTACTCTGCATCCCAGTGGTGCTGTGGATGTTGTGGGGAACTTGAAGCCTCAAAAACATCTCTTGGCAGGTGTGGTTAGACCCAAAGGGATAGATTTAGACCCTCCATCCACCCACCATCTAAAAGCTACCTTCATGGGGAGAGCAACCTCAGCCCTAGTGCTGCCAGCTCTGCAAGGATATCTTGCTGTGACCTCTCCGTGTTTCCAGATGGCCATCACAGAAAGTGTTTGTGGGCTGGTGACATCTATTTCATGAGAAATGCTATTGATGGTATGATTTTTAAGCCGTACCACCAAAAAATTCTTGAAAAGCTACTACTGAAATTGAGCTCTCGCAAATAGCCAGTTTTCCCCAGGATAATTGCAACCAACATATTAATATATGAGAAAATGTGGAACAAAGACAGATCATGCAATACAGCAATGGTTCTTTCAACACAGGAATGCAGGAGTGACTGAGGAAACCACAGCATTGAGATTGATGTTGTGGTGGGCCGTTGTAGCAGCATTGCCTTCTTATCTAGCTGTAGAAATAACAGATCCAATTTGGATTCTGTGTGCTGGGGACTCAACCCCAGGCTGTTTCTGCCAGATGAGTTGCACAGATGTGGAGGTAATGGCTATTGCAGGTAAGGATGATGTTCTATGAGGCTGGGGCTTTCAGTCTCTCTGGACTAGAGCAGAAATTCCACTTTCTCAAAGGAAAATAATCTTTTTTTCTTTGTCTCTCTCATTTTGCTCTCAACAGATTTCTGTTCAAAGTTCCCTTTTTGACAAACTGGCTTTTTTTTTTTTTTTTTCTGAGAAGAATATGCACTGCTGAAAACTTTCAAGTCAGCAGTACCTGGGATAATTTAAAAACTTCCAAAACAGACAGCTCTGCTGGCAGCACAGCATGAGGTTAGAAAACCCTCGATGACTGGAAGATGCCTTCAGAGGCCATGTGGTGCTGCAGGGCTCCCATGGTGCCAGGAGCAGGCAGCCATTCCTGCAGCGGGAGCACAGCTCACCCCAGGGTATCCTGAGGCACTGCACAGTTGTGCTAGAGTGATTAAAACTGTCTGGTTTTACAATCAGGAAAGGAGCTTTGAGAAGAAATCCAAAGCAGTGTGAGTTAGTGCTTTGCCTCATGCAGCACCTTCTGCTCATATCTGTAGTCTAAAATCACCACTAACAAACATGAAATGTCTATCAGAAAATTTTGCAGACCTTGCATGTGAGATAAGTACCCAAAGTAAATATCCAAAGTAAGTACTCAAGTGTTGTCTGTTTGTGTTTAAGGCAAGATCATTACATATTGTGCTTTTCTCCAATTTACAATCTTGAAAATTTGGTAAGTCACATTTGGTACATACTTAAGAATTAGATCCAAAAGCACACCTATGATGATCTAAAAATCCCACTAACCTCAGGTTTTCCTCAAAGCTCCAGAGCAGCAAGGATATAAAAACCAAACCTACATTCTTGGCAGATATGAACACCAAAAACCACCTAAAAGGGAAATGAAAATCTTAAAATCAACTCTCTTTGTCAGTTAACATTTTTAATGTTCCTGGCTAAAATACTGCCTTTCTGCTCCAAGCTGGGAGGAGACAGGAGGAGGTGAAGGGAAAAGACTATCAGAGAGGATGACTCTCCTCTTCCTCTTGCAGTGGGTGAGTGTCCATTACCCATCCTGGGATGCTGAAGATCTTGATTCAAACCAAACCTTTCTACCTTCAAACTCAGCAAGAGTGCATCCAACTACTGGACATTGGCTGAGAAGGACTCTTCAAATTTCCTCTAATGAAATCATTTTATGTTGTCATTTTAGATAATTATACGTTGACATCAGGATCTCACTTTGCTTTTTCTGAGTTTCAGGTGAAAATGTTTTCCTCCAGCTTTTCTCAGGCATTTAAATCTGACTGTGGGAAACTTCCCAAGGTCTTGTGTTTCCCTGGTTGTGCAGTATCAAACATCTTGGACTCCTAAATCTGGAGAGAGGAAATATTTTCCATTCAGCCTTAGAAATTATTATTATTATTATTATTATTATTATTATGCTCAATGTTAAAGGTAGCTAAGAGATAGATAATTCATTTCTGACGGTTGTCTTCTCATGAAGTAATTGATGTACAAATGTTAGCACATTAAGCAAACTCTGCTGCAGACAGTAGGCCTGTAAATAGACTGGAAAGAAAAAAAAATGCTGGGAAATTAATTATGTGTTTAAATAAGAGGAACTGATTTCTGTAAAGCCATGAGTGCTTTTTAATCTTCCAGAGTAGATCAGAAATTCAGTCCTCAAGTGGAAGAAATCCTAGAGGGCAGCTCTAACGAGTCAGTAAGTAAAGCACATAGGGTAGTGAATAAGAAGGCTTTACAAATATGTAGAGGCAGCTGTATGTCTGTAATACATTCATCATGCAGCAGTATGGCACTCACACAGCAGCACTTTGGCCCCCTGTCTTGAAGAATATTCAAATTTCACTGTTATCACAGTGTATTGCATGTCCTGCTTTGTGTTACTGCACACTCAAAATATCACCCAGGCTTGTAATTGGTGCGTGTCAGGGTATTTCTTTACCCTTAAAACAAGCACGGGTCAGATTTTCAAAGTGTGTCAATATGTCAGGCTGGCTGCATATGAGTCAAGGGGACCAAGTTCCTTTATACCAGCTAAGGATTGGGTCCTATGTATTTAAAAATAGACTAATGAGGGAAGGACCCATCCACCTACTGAAAGGTTCTGTGACCTACTTCTGCAGCTCTCCTCTTCGTTGTTCAGGAAAGCTCTGCTGGGTTTCTGCTTCTTAATCTCCTTGGCTTCCCCTAAATCGCTCACAAAAGCAAATTCCACTGGAGAGAGAGACAGCTGTTTCTGCATATATTAATAATATGCAGCTCTATAAATTATTAATAAAAGTTACCAATGACTTTGAGTTATGGTGCAGTAATTCACACTTAGCTGTTTAGATGGCTCTCAGCCTTCATCCTGGTGTTCCATTAAGCACCTGGTATGAATGATTATGTTGGAATTCAAATTGTTGTTTCTAGTTGCTGAAATTTAGCACTGTGCATATTGGACTGGATCACAGAGATGATTATGGCATGCCAGAAAAGCTCTGCACACCACATGGATGGATGCAATCAAAACAATTGATTTTTCAGATTGGTCTCTGGGAATGCTGGTGGTCGTGTACGGAAAGATCTTAGTCCTCTGCCATGATAGGCACCTAGAGCTGGTCCAGAAAGATGTTTAAATTTATTTAAACACATGTACAAACATTCTGGTGGATCCTATGAAGTGTTCAGCACAGTTATATCTGGCAGCTCCTTCTGTGATGGATGTGGTCACTTTCTCATTTTCTTATGTCTCTCCAGTGTTTCGATGACATTTGTGTTACTGTGAGCTCTATCCATGAAAAGTGC